GCGTGTGCGTGCGTGCCCAAGATCCCGAGAGGAGAATGGAGGAGAAGGGACTGCGGCGTGACCATCCCCCCAGGGGGGTGATTTCTCGCTTTCTGTCTCTAATGTCTCTCTCTGTCTGTCTGGCGAGCGCACGCGCCCTATAGCAAAAATCTCTCCAAAAAAAAAAAATTAAAAAGATATTCATAACTGGAAGAGAAATATTTTTGAAATTCAGAACCATTTGATCATTACTCATAGCTCCATTTACTGATCATTTATTGTGCAAGCCAGTCGTCTTTCTTATGTTTCCTTTATGTCTCTCTCTCGTGAGCACAGCAAGCACATGTGCTCTCTAGCAAAATTAAAAAAAAAAAATAAGAGTGTGGTTGGTGTGGAGGCACAAAATAACTGGAGACGCAGCTCAGATGTGAAGGAAGGCCTGGTCGGCAAGGGCCCTGCGTGCTGTCACACTAAGGAGGTCAGACTTTTTCCTTAACTGTAACTAGGAGAGTTTTCTTTTGTTTACGTTTTTGCTGTAAGCGCATGTGCTCACCAGAGAGGAGAGAGACAGAGACAGCAAGAGGGAAAGTGAGAAATCAATCCCCGTGGGGGGTGGCATGCGATAATCCCCTATTCTCCATGCTCCTCCTAGGATTCTGGGCACACACGCACACGTGCCCGGTATGATTTTCAAGCCATTAGGTCCAGGACTCAAACTGCGATTGGCCATGTGGGAGTCCAGCGTCTTAACCACTGCACACCTGCCAGCCCCAGTAGGACAGTTTTTACTCAGAGAAGTAAAATGATTCAATTAGCTAAAGTAAAATGATGGCCACAGAGGAAGAATTAGTAGAGAGACCGGTTAGGAGTAATAATTCAGGACCTGAATTTGAGTGTCACAGTGGGAATTAAGGATGAGAGGGTGGAATCAAAAGACTGTGAAGAAAGAATGGACAGGGATGCCAGAGATGAGAAGGAAGAAATGAGGAAAGGGAGTGACCGAGGCCTCCACTGCAGGCCCCTGGGTGACTGGGAAGGCTGTCACGCGAAGCAGAAGAGAAGCAGACTGGGGACGAGCTGACCAGGTGAGACAGAACAAGCTCTCACTTTAAACATGACTTTGCGGCACCTACAGGACCTTTTCATGAGGCAGGATCTGGGGAAAGACAAAGACTGGAAACACCTATCTGCCGTAGACACGTGGACATCATTCACTCCCTACATTTCGTATCTGTTTTTAAACGGCTCGCTCTGAGCCCAAGGCACGCGAGTATCCAATACTTGGTCTTGCTCTACCCGTCTCACCGGATTTTGCTGTCTTTGACTCCCAGTTGGTTAGGCTTTTATTCTTGGCTCATTCAGAACCCTTTTATAGATTTTACATGTAGCAGTTGTCTAAATCATAGACAATTAGATTCTGCATATTATTAAATTTAATAGAATACAAAGTTCTCCGGAAACCCAGGCACTTCCGTCTATTACACTTTATTTTCACCGCCATAGAGCATGCGTCCTCATGGGGTGGGGGGCACTCCTGATGGGCTGTGGTCTTACCACAATCTCTTTTCCTCCATTTCTCCACCCCGTCCAGATCTGGGGGCACACACACCCACCAAATGTGTTTTTCAAGCTGCTGCGAGCCGGACTGGAACCACAGTCAGAAATGTGCTCTTTGACTCCCTCACCACTAGGCTCTAGCGCCAGCCCGTGTTCATGTTAAACACTCGGTGGTGTTTCCTGGCCATGTTCTCTCTTTCCAAGCTCTCTTTAAATATAT